GAGAGAGAGAGAGAGAGAGAGAGAGAGAGAGAGAGAGAGAGCAGGAGTGACCAGCAGGAGGATTTAAGACATGGTGACCTGTCATAGGAGGAGAACTTGGAGGATTGGGGGGGAGGAGGAGTTGGAGATGGGGAACCTTACCAGGGTGGAGCCAGGACGATGAAGAAAGCTGCCGAACACAGCGGGAGACAGAGGCAGAGACTTGGAACGCATTTGAAAGTTTGAATCGCGGAGGGAAACTGCCGTGCCTACGGGCCTGGGTATCCCGCAAAGTTGTCCACCTGGTATGGAGGGCAAACCGGGTACAACAGGGTGCAGGCCCAGGCCCCAACGTCGCGGTCCAGATTGCAAGTTTGCACACGGGCCTGACAGGGGCGAAACACAAAGATTTAGGCCCAAAAGGGCATTTCGCTCTACCCACATCTTTTAGGGGCATTTTGGCATATAACTCAAGTTATAGGGGTATTTCGCAAATTATCCCTTTTAATTCTCTGTTCGTTTTTTCTTATTTTTATTATAAGTTTTACTTTGTGTTTTATTTTTATTTCAAAAATTTAAGGGAATTTTTTATTTTTATTTTTTTTAAACAAAAAGGCTAATTCTTTAAGCCCAACCAATTCAATTACCTGTCGAATCTGGACAGGACAGCCTTTCAGGCCTTTTTTATTGTCATTATAGTATTACGGGGAACCCCGTAGCAGCCACATCCATGCTCAAGTGCAATGACTTGCTGGATCCAGGTTGCCTGTAGCCTCACTCTGACGAGGCTGTACCATAGGTAGGGACAGATTCGTAATTTGTTTGGCTGAGGGCTAACCGAGAGACCTCTCTGTGAGGAAAATTCGTGAGGACATATTTGTAAATATAGGAAATATGGGCCCAGTACTAACTCAATTTCCTACAGCTACACTAACTGCGAATAGCAGACCTGGGCTACCCCTAGGACAGGCAGGCCCAATGGGCCTACGCTGATAGACGGTCCTATAGCCTATAGCCGGGTAGGGAGAGGCCCTAGAGGCCGAAACAGAAACGGTACCGGTCGGTCAGCCAGTCCGGGCTAGGTCGTGTCTAGGCTAGTCTAGAGTATAGATAGGATGGGGACATCGGTCCTGGGCTTTTGGCAGTTGACACTTCGTGGTGGAAGTTGCTGCGCACATGGTATCAGGCTGTGGTTGCTGATTCCGGTGTGGGAGATGGCGGGCATAGCCAGACCTTCGGAGCGCTGACCAGACTGGGGTCAACGCTGTCCGCTCTGACTCTCTGGGAGTCAAAGCGGTCTGGGCTATGAGAGGTCTGATGCGTTGGAGCACGTGGTGCACTGCTGACCCTCCTCAGGAGTAGGGTCCCAGTGGCGATGCAGCCATAGCTGCGTCTTCTCAGAGGAGATCATCGTCTGGACTTCATCTTCATCAGGGACTGTTGGCGCTGAGCTTCTTCTTCATCATCTGGGTGGCGATTGGCTCTGGGAGCCTGTTTCACTTTGCCGCAGGCCACTGAGCTGGATGTCAGGGTGGCGCTGGGTGTTACCTGGGGTTTCGGTGCTATTTTTAGCTGTTCCGGGTGGTGGGGTTGAGGCGCTACCCCTCTGAGGGTAGCGCAACAGGGTTCTGAGGTCATTTCAGTTGAACGATGCTCTGAGTTTAATAAACAGTTGTAATACTGTGTTTGAGTTGTCATCTCTTCATTGATTTCTGGCTGTGATCACTCGGTTGTCTTCTATGAATGATTGTTGGGATTTCTGTGGGGAGAATTCACTGAATTGTGTATTCTGTCACTTCGTTTCTCTGAGTCTTCCACTGCGTTTTCTTTTCTGGGCGGTGTGACCCTCCACTACCTCTCCCCTTCCTTCTGTGCATGTATGGGTGTGTACTGGATTTCCTGTGAGTGAGCGTTGATAAAATTTCAACAGACAATCATGTTCATAACACAAGCCTCCAACGAGGGAAGCTGCACCCACCAGCAGGTGCGATACCTGCTACAGCAGGTGGGCAATACCGGCCAGGGGTCAGCCGGTAGCATCAGGACCGAGCTTCTTTGATGGGCCAGTCACTGTGCCTCCCCTCCGCCCCCCCTCCCCTATGAACAGCAGCAGTCTCTGCTCAATGCCACTCGGGGGGACCAACGGCATATCTCTAGGTGGGGGGCGCCAAGCTTGCCCAGGAAGGTGCATGAGGCCAATGGGGATTGAACCCAAGACCTCCTGAATGCCACTTGCGTGCCTTACCAACTGAGCTCAGACAAATATTGTTTATTAAACTTATTTTACTTTTCTTCATATTGCGAGTCGACTATTGCTTCTGACACCTGCAAACAGGCGAAAAGAATGAAGTGGTAGGATTTTGCATCTGACAGACCAACACAGGCATCCTACTAACCCAACGATAATGCTAGCGATAGTGGTAGTTTACACGGGCATGTACGAACAATGACCTCATCCCGTGAGATGACCTGACTACCGGCACCTTCGGAAGAGAAGGCACCATTGACATGTGTCATCACCCAAATCAGTACTCGAGCTCTTAGTCAGTCTCACCGGCTGACCGAGCATCGTCCTCTTCTCTACCAACATGCAGGTTCCTGGTGGTTTTTGGACAAAAGGAGGCATGGGGCACCGTTGGCATGTTTGATACATACCTCTTCCTCTTCTCTACCGACACGCAGCCGCTTGGTGATTTTCAAGGAGTAGAACATCACAAATGAAACAACAGAAACCCAGGTGGAGACCAACAGGACGCCAAGGAACTGCACAGACAACAACAATAACAACAAGAACGGCAAACAAGCACCAAGCCAGCAAGAGTCAACTTGAATATGCAAGCAATAGCACATTCCCATTGGGCTAATCTGGTCGTCTTGGTGATTTTTTTGTTATTTTAATATGTTCTTGGTGGGTTTCAAAACGTTTGGATAACAGAACTCGTTCCAAAGATAGTAGCAACAGGCGAGATGCTTCACTCCATTTACTCTTTCGAGCCACATTTCTTCATAGAGGCTCTCGAGCAGAAAGGTCTGAGCCAGAGCGGTTGGAAACACTCGAAGAGCCTCACCAGAGAGAATCGTAACTGGAAATATGATACCCGGGCAACTTCCTGATTGGAGTCATCCATCATGACGTCGGAGAGGAGGGTTATTGATTACTCGAGTTGGAAAGCCGTGTAATGTACATCTTGCACAGTTTGATGGGCACTCTAGTAGACTTCGCAAGAGGCTCTGAAGAGCCTCAACTGATGTGGCGTTTTGCAAACTCGTCTCGCCGATCTGGACAAATCGGTCCTATATTCCAACCCCTTTTCAATGGCGCTTAGATTATCATACAACCAATAATCGCATACACATGTCTCAGGGGAGCCACAAAGGAGTAGTAATTAAAAATGGTATTGTAAATGCACGTATATCGCCCGCGAGAATAGAAGGCACTGGTGTGTGTGTTGTTGTCAAAAAAAAAGGAAAAAAAAAAAGAAAGGCAAGTATATCTGCTTGGTTTATTGGGATCATATTCTTCGTGATATAGGAAGTGCAAGGAGACCCTCACTCATGCGCCATCCATTTCATGTGAGCATGCAGATATGGTGGTCGCACCAAACACATGAAAATCAACTCGTCCTCCCTCTTCGAGAATCGCCACACAGTTCAAAAAAAAAATGGAGTTACAGTCATCAAATACGGCACGCACACAGCACAAAGTTATAGATGGTGCAGCTATGGTGGGTCGGCCCCACAAACAGACTTGCAAATTCAAGATAACAAGCCTGGCTCAATTTTACAATCGAGTTGGGCTTGAAACTTCAATGAAACGTCCCACCATGCAAGCCCTGTCACTCGCTGCTACAAAAGATGCAGGTCAGAATTGAACGCAGTCTTCTGGGGCTGCAATCTCTACTACCGCCAGCATGTCTCCTTCCCTCTTCTACACAGGATCTCTCCCTGAACATCGCAGTGATGCTCCCACTCTATGGCTCACTCACCGCCAAGCAAAAGCTCTCCCCTGCAAACGCCCAACACAAACAACGCGATCCAGATCGCACTCCAAAAGGAACAGAAAACAACAGCTACCAGACTCTATTGCCCTAGTACTCCAGCTATGGCTGTCTTCTTCACCACAGCGCACTGCTTGTTTCGAAGAACCAGCACCACACAGAATGAAGTTCAATGAACCCTCCAAAAACGAATTCTGGAGCTTTATTTGTGGGGACATTTCCCCCGTCGCCCTTGGAAGCCTCTGGATGCTTGCGGGAGGCACACTTACTGCACAGACGGAGCTAAGCATTGATTTCACGTACACATAAGAGCAGGTCCCAGGTTCAAGGCTCCACAAACACAGTCGACGCTTACAACAGGGTATAGCAACAGGTAAGGGCAAAGGTAAGTCAACACCAGGTCCCTGGTTCAAACTCCAATAGCATCACATAAGCATACTACATAGCGCAAAAGGCAACAACAACAACGACAGGTCCCGGGATCGAATCACCACAGGCTTAGGAAGGTGAAATCCTTTCAGAAGAGTATACCCTTTGTATGTGCGTCTCCCGAATTAGTTGCGTGAGTCTCCCATGTAAGGGATACAGGATTCAGTTTCCAGCTTTTATTAAACCACCCCGCTCCCCGGCGTCAAAAACCTCGGGGGACCGGTAGCACAGTCACGAGGCCTACCGGTAGCATAGCGTCGAGAACCGGCTGAACGACAAAAATGGAAATTGCGTCAAAATGACGCGTGATTTATTCCGCAGCCCAATTTTACTTTATTTTTAGTATTCTTCCCAAAACGATCACAATGAAATCCACGGGCCCCTCCAAGTTTCAGCTTTTGCCGCTCATTCTTCTGAGCGCGAAAAATCATTGAAGTTGAGGTACTTTTTCTGTTGGCCCACACATGGTGGAGTGGCAAAAATGGAAATGCACCGATGGCACACGATTATTTCACAGTCAATTTTCATTTTTATTTTATTTTTCCAGTATTTTTCCTTGAAAGATCACGACCTAATTTATGGATCCTCAAATTTCAGAATTTTCAGCAAATTTTTCTGAGCGCAAAAAATCGCCAAGGTTGCCGCTTTCAAATTGTGGGACTGGACCCACCGGTGACGAACTGCTGCCGCCCCTCTGTAACTCACAGGGCCGTGGGTTTCGGGTGTCGGGGGAAGGGGTGGTCTAATACGAAACATTTTTTTCTATTAAAAAAGGAGAAAAAAAACAATTGCAAGGAAGATGAGTGATAGCGAACTCCAACAATCAAACAGCATCATACATATGAGTCCAGACAGTCTTGACCTCAAACCATATGCAGAATTGCATCACGAGATACACCAAATAAGAGCACACCAAGAGTTCATCATTGACAATGCTGAAGTAGTCCCATCATCATCATCGAAGAACCAGAGTTGATATCCTATTGGCGCTCGGCGCCCAGACTACAAGTGGCAGATCCTATCTAGCCTATACTACGAAGCAGAATGATGACATCAACAGCGTTCCCGAAGTACGAGCATACAGCGGACAATGCCGCACGCTTCCAGCACCAGGTATGTCTCTCGCAACACTCACAACCCCGATCCACACCACACAGATGCCACTAGCACCCAAGGACCACCCTGCGCCACACCCAGCTCACAGCGGAGCAGCTCGGCTATGGCTGCCCACTCCTTCCTACTCGCCCGTGAGAGCGTGAGTGCCAGCCAGCCGGCAGATAGCGCAGCAGCGCTCGCGCAGCATGCAGCCAGCACCCGAATRCCGAATGAGGAGGCAGGCCCTTCCCTATATCGAAGTGGCCTGCCTGCGTCCAGTCCAGGAAGCTTCCAGTAGGCCCCGGTAGGCACAGGCCCAGACCTCACACGCAGGCCCAGGGCCTGATGGTTGCATGTGCCCCACTTCCCTTGGCCTGCTTACGGCCTTTCCCCCGCGTCTGGCCCAGGTCCCCATTCAGATACATTTGCAAAATATGGCCTGGGCCTGGGCGCCTTCAACCAACTGGCGCAGCGCAACTGTCTGAATTTCACCAGTTGCGGGGTACCCTGAAAATCGAGGCCCTGAGGGCCTGTCGCGCCTGCCTTCACTTAGGGCGGCCGACATGCTGCAAAAAGGGCCCCGAAGGGGCTGAGCGGGCGTAGCCTCGCACAATTCTATACGGCAACATATTCATATGCCAGGTCGCCCAACCTTACCGAACAGGATTCAGAAGACGGAATAGAAAACAGAAGATGGCTTATGCACAGCGAACCATGCAGCTATGACTGCAACCTGTCACTCTCTCAACACGTTCTGTGCAAAGTTGCAAATTTATCTCCCCCTCGCTGTAACTTCCATCAAGCGGCCACCTCTATGTGGTGAAATCCACTCTTCAGGTCCATCTTCAAGGAGACCTGGCAGCCCTGGACTCTGTTCAACAGGTTCTCAATCTGTGGCAATGGCTGTACATTCTCATGGTGATACTATCCAGCACTCTGTAGTGGACACCCATGCGAATACCTCCATCCTTCTTAGGAACGAACAAACAGCATAGGTGCCCGGAAGGGCAAAGAAATGGGACGGTCCATCGCCCTTTTCCATGAAATCGTTGGAGCTACCGCTTGAGTTCACCAACATATGTCCCTTTTGAGGTATGGCGCCCAAAACCCGGCCATTATGGGTGCTTAAATGACCACTCCATCAGGACCTGTTTTGACAAACGAAAGTCGCATTTCCCTGAGCCTAACATCTGCAGTGCCGCCATGCCCTTCCCCACCGAGCCTCTACCAGGCCTGGGCACTGTAGATTTTGCCCCAGTACTTGTAGACAAGAAATATGAACAGTGCAGGGGCTGCTGGAGTAGAGGTTTAACTTCCCTCGGCAGGATACCCATGGGGTCCTCCTACAGATCTGCAGACAGGTTCACTAGACTCTGCACTTTCTCATGACCTTAAACCACCAGTACACCCGAGCCTGGCAGACTCGCACTGCGTGCCAAGCTTTGCCGAGCCACCAGCGCCACACTTTTGTTCTTTTTCAGCTGGTGCCCCAGCCATCGAGGTCCGGTGGCCCCAAGCCTCCGAAACTTTAGGAGTGAGACATGAGGTTTTTCAGAGTTGGCTGGGGTCGTGTACTGGCGGTTTAAGGGGTCTACAGCATTTGCAGGCCACCCTGTGTGACCCGAGCCAGCCAAAGCAGAGCTGGTCCCCGGAAAGGCAAAGTACTGGGATGGTGTAAAAGGAAAAAAGTTGGAGGGCTGTTGGAGTAGCCGGGATTTGAACCCCATACTCCCCCAGTGTGCTTGTCGTTCGGGGTGTGCTTTTTGGAGGCCCCGGGATTCAAATCCGGGCAGGTGTTTTAGCAGTTCAGTAGATTAAGGCCATCATGGCACTAATGCAATCAGACTCGCTATCTTTCACACTTCGTATGCATGTAAACAGGTGGTGCAGCAAACTGGCGACAAGCGCCCACTCAGAACTCAGAGCTATGGAAACCAAGAACGCAGTTCAGATACAAGTTCACTTCAAATGGCTATGGCGTCACAGCGCCTGTATAACTCTCTGTTCACACACACACAGGATCACCCTGGATATCCCACACGCGGCACTCTGTACACACATACGCACACACACGCTACACTCTCCTAACAGCTATGGCGGCTATGGCCGCTGCTACCCTATCGCTATGGCTAAGCTCCTTCTCTCGCCCACTTYGTCYTCGGGCTCACTGCAGACCACCTCGCACAAGTCGCTGTGGCAGCGCTTCCGCATGGCTTACGCAGGAATGAATGAATGGCTKGG